GATAAAGTGGGTGGTCTCAAAAAAAATTGGCACCTCAATCTTGACATGATATGATTTCAGCCCTCCTAGCCATTGGAAATGCAAAATAAACAGATTATTAATCTACAATGATGTCGCGATCGCCCAATTTTTTTTCACAAATTGGCGACTGTTTGAAAAAAAGTGTTTTTTACTATTTTTTGAGTTTCTCGAATTTTTTAAAATAGTAAAAAATTGGAATTTGGGGATAATCCTAGTTCGGGATATAGATAGGTCTATAAACAAGACTCTCTGAACTTTTAATTTCAGTAAATCGGTCGATTCAAACTCGGGAAATCGTGTCAACAGTATTGAAAAAGTCTGTACTGAGAAAAACGCATTTAAAGTTTTGCGTCAAGCCAAACCAGTATGGGGACTGAGTAAGTAAAATGCCTATATCTCCGAAAATAATTCAAATTTTTAAAAACCTTCTCGTACCCATATTCTTAGATAGTTAAACTTTGAAAATATGCAATAAAAAAAAACGATTTATTTTGAATTTCTACACTAGAATAACCCCTTAATCAATGATTATTTAATTAATTTTAGTTGCGTTCAAGATTATTTTTGAGGACTTGAGAACTTTAAAAATTTATATTTTTAAAAATTCTTTTGTCATGATAGTAGTAAAATCGAGTTCTATGTATCCAGCCGTCTAGTCTATTGGTAAAACAATATACCTTCCGCACCCAAGAATAAACTATCTATCTATCCCAATCAACAAAAATATTCTTCTGTTGTTCATTACTACAATCTGTGAAAATGATTCACAGGATTTAACTAAAAGCCATCAGTTTCTTATATTCCACATAGTTCCATTGATCTACGAAGTTCTTAAATCCGCGGACTCACTTACCTTTGTAGAAGTAAATCTTGCCGTTACCGCTCCAGACTAATGCGGCATCGACATTATCTGGAATGCCAGTAAATCCATCTGATATTTCTTTGGGATAAGCGCCATCCATCCGTTTATCCGCATATCTCCAATACTGAGTTCCTTTGAAGAAGTATGTTTTGCCGTTTTTGTAGGTAAACGCAGCGTCTATATGACCCGGTAGGCCACGCCAAGTGTCGGATATCCTTTTAGGATAACCCACTTCGACACCGTCCTCGGTCAATCTGGGTAAGATAATTCACACATTAATATCTTCAATACGGAAAAATATTATATGTGCAATTTGGTTCATTAAAATCTATACAATCTGATGATGATCTAACTTTGGTACAGAAAAACGAATTTATCAATAACTTACTTCCAATAATTTTCTCCTTGAAAACAAAAGTATCACCACTTGCAGAATTGAACAATGCGTCAATTTTAGGATCTGTACAAAGTACTGAATTTTTCTTGTCGGTTGGTCGCAATGTTGTAGGTGCTGCAGCTGCTGGACGTTTTGGTGCCAGTTTTCGATTTCTTTCCATAAAGAGCCTAAATGGTAAAGGACTATTAATATCATAATAAAATCGAAGAGAATTTTTTCATAGGCATTCTTGAGAAACACTTATGTGAGTTGTGGTGAACTTAATACGTTAATCGCCACGATATAATCACAAAAATATTCACGTCCATCGTAACTTTATTAGATAATTTAGTTAAAATATACTAAGAAAACGTGATGTATCAAAGAAAAAAAAAACTCTGGAAAAAATTTCTGGAAATGCACAATTTCTCGCACCAAGCCAAGAAATTCTTAGATATATGTCTGTCATGGTTTATGTAGAATTCTTAGCGTCGGACAAAAATTACTGTCATGGAATTAACGTGTTGAAGTAAATTCATCTGAATAATTTTGAATTACAGTAGAACCTCGATTACCCGACTAATTGTTCGGTATAATATATATTTTCTCAGATCATATTACATAAACTGCAGCATAAATCGTGCAAAATTTGAATTATAGGTATGTAAATATACATATAACTCTGTCGCGGTTAGTAGTTCGGATAATCGCGAATCCGTATAACTGAGGTCCGAATAATCGAGGTTCTACTGTGTTTCAAGAAGACAATAAAAATATTACGTATAGTGTCATTAATTACTACTGCTTTGAATATTCTTCCTATATTTGAAAACACAAGAAGAAACTTGATCCATATATGTTGGATGTGGTAGTAAAAAGAGTTGCGAATAGTTCTTGTATTTTATGACAAGACTTGTAAATTTTCATGGAAGACAAGGCTGCCATGTAGTAAAAATATTTCTAGAGTTTATTGGTATTGCCTTTGAAATAAAATTTAGTATCAAAACTCATTGCTAAAATGAATTTTTATAATCAACCGAGATGAAGTTTGATCATAAACTGTGCAGCAGAACAGTAGTATACTAACTTTGTAATATTAACGATAAGATTTTATGTCTGTTATGTATCACTTTTTATAAAATTATCATCTGACATAGTGATTGCCAAAATGGTCAACATGTAGACCTCAGGCGTCCTGTCCACCAAATTAAAATGGGGATTCACGGTAGTGGATCACGTTAATATCTAAATAATAATAAGTCATGTTCAATATGTAGTAATTAAACTAAAAAGTAATTACAAATTTAGTTTTTTTTCTAGAGATGTGTAAGTTGTAGCATAAGTGGTTAGAGGGCGTCCATTAATCACGTGAGCGAGTTTTTAAGAATTTTTGGACCCGCCTCCCCTTGGTGATACATGGTGATATTCAAAATTAACACCCCCCCCTCCCCCACAAAACATCGCATGTATTTTTAGTTACGTGAAAAAAGTTAGTTTTTAGTTACTGTAAGATTTTTGATTTTTTCTTGAAAATGTTTGAACTTTTCCCCCACGGGTGATATTTCATGATTTCTTATCAAAACCTCCACTCTCGCTAAAAACCTCACGTGATTAATGGCCACAATAGAGTAGAACGTAGAGATGACATCATTTGCTTTGAGATGTGAGTTTAAACCTTACAAAATCGTTTCCAAATGTTGATAGTCGAACATTATTAATAAACTAAAGAACAGAAATCGATATCTGTTGAATAGGTGGTTCATAACAAAGCCCAAGGATTCCACGACATAAAATAATTTAGAAACCTATGATCTAACATACTATATTGTGCATTTATACAGTCATCTCTGAACATCGTTTATATTCATTTCATTTCAAATTTGACACCTGTGTGTGGTATAATAGGTATCAAAGCCGAAGTTGTTTCACCTCGAAGTTAAGTGCGAGTCAAACTTACTTGAATTCCCATAATATCATCGCTGTCCAGTTCAAACGATGGTTCATATCCGCGATAGAATGGGGCCATCAGGGCACTTCTCACATCGGAGTGACTCAGACCGAGCGAATGACCAAATTCATGTGCGGCCACTTGAAACAAGTTGGTCCCGGTAAAACTTTTAATGCTCCACTTCTCTGCATCGTCGAAATGTGCATCTCCACCGTACACCTACGAAACAGATCCGATTTATTAGGCGATCTAAAGTTTTTATGACATTTCAACGGTGATAAAGTACGTTCACGAACTTAGAATTGGCACTCATACGAAATATTTACAGATGATTTAGCGTGAAAGCATGAATTTTTCATAAACACATCTAGCAAAGTTTAGAGGTAACAAAAATAACGTAACAGTTATTATTATGCATGCAGTTTCAACCGGTAAAAAAAAAATATGACCGTGCAATACAAGTATTCAGTATCAAAATTATCCTTAATGTTTCAACTTTTGAAAAATACTTTTATATTCTATATTTTCTATTTTATGGTTCATCTATGTATGAAGATGCTCAAACTCTAAAAATTAAAACTTTTTTTTTTCATTTTATTTATTTATTTTATTTTATTTTTAATAGCAATCAGAATACATGACAATTCTATGAGCTATTTGGCTTCTGTCATTCACTCACACACATTTTGCTTTCATTAATTAGTAATTATATATATATTAGATACTAGCTGACCCGGCAAACGTTATTTTGCTAGTAAGTAAGGTATATTCTAAACAATTTCTAGAGAATTAAAATATTCATACTTTAAGTGCATAAGGATGTGTTATTTGGCTATTATAATATTATTATACTATTACAATGAAGTATTATAAAAACTATAAACCCCATTAGTTTGTCTATATTTTGTCAATACAATCAAACTGGAAGATTTATACACTTTCTATAGAAAACATAGTATAATCCAATTCAAGTCTTTTTTGGTCTTTCGACTTATTGATCACGTTTCAAGTTTTTCAGATTCTTTTTGGATTCTGTATTTTGTGTATTTACAATTAGTAAATAATGCTACTGAGCTTATACAAAATTTTCAAATTTTTGCGAGGAGAGATAGAAAATGGATTAATTATTTCTTCTTTGACCTGCTTTTGGAAAAGATTCAAGTAACATTCGATGAATGAAAGTAAATTTAATAAAAAGTATATACGAGGTCTGTTCAAAAAGTACCCGGAATTTTCGTTTTTTCAAAAAAATATTTATTTATTCGTCTACATTAATGTGGTCCCCTTCAAAGTAGTCCCCCCCAGATATAATACACTTATGCCAGCGTTTTTTCCAATTTTCGAAGCACCCTTGATATTCACTTTTTGATATGTCCTTGAGCACTCTCAGCGATTCGGCCTTTATTTCTTCAATCGAGGAAAACCGCCGTCCTTTCATGGGTCTCTTCAACTTTGGGAATAGGAAAAAGTCACACGGAACCATATCTGGTGAATATGGAGGTTGGGGCATGACTACGGTATTGTTTTTGGTCAAAATTTAGCAGTTTTGGAATGAATTTTGCTGCCACTCGTTTCATGCCCAAAACATTTGAAAAAATGTTGTGACATGAGCCAATTGATATGCCAACTTCATCAGCAACTTCTCTAATTGTGATTCGGCGATCATTCATAACCATTTTTTCCACTTCTTTCACATTTTCATCGTTTGTTGACGTGCTGGGTCGACCGGAGCGTTCGTCATCTTCAACGTCTTCGCGGCCATCTTGGAAACGCTTGTACCACTCGTAAACACTTGTTTTTTTCATAGCAGACTCACCATAGGCTTTTTGTAACATTTCACACACTTTGTTACACTTTATTTCATTTTTTACGCAAAATTTAATACAAATTCTTTGACTTTTCAATTCTTCCATTGTAAAATCGCCGAGCTCAGAAAAACACGTCGAACCTTAGCGACTACCACAGACAAAGTAAACAGTGAATATAGCTGAAAATTTCATCATACTTTAGGGGCATGTATACCAACACAATAAAAAAAAATTTTGACAATCAGACACTCCAGACCCGCGAAATTTAAAAATTCCGGGTACTTTTTGAACACACCTCGTATGTAGAGCAGGGCGAGGCACAAAGGTCCAATTTGACTTTGAGCAAATATAAACTATATTGTGAAAATCATAACAAATATATCACAACAAATAACACATATCAAACGAACAATTATCTGACTATATAGTTATTATATATTGAGTACATAATTATACAAATGAGATCTTTCAGAGCACTGTGTTTGAGAAAAATATGCCAGAAAGGGCATTTTCATAATAAAATTTCAAAAAAGTTGATATTTTGAGTCTCTAGTAACACTCGCGGCCCGTTTACTAACGTTTTTGTATATAAATAAAACTACAAACAAAACTACTTACTACAATTTAATCATAATTAAATAATCATCAATTAAAACATCATCTGTCAAAAACGTTTGATATTTCACTTATTAGTCACCGTCCATTGTTTTATTCAAGGTACGCTTCTATAAAGATTTTCAAATTAATAATGTAAAGTTTTTACGCAATTTTGAAATAATATCTCACCTTTCCGACCACCTACTGATAAGCACGAATTTTTCAAGACTAAGACTGGCCAAATCGGTTTAGCTGTTTTCGAGTTTTACTAAGCCATTTGAAAGAGAGCTTCATTTTTATATATAAGATATTAAATGGACAAACAGTGGCTCTAAAAATGCAAAATCTTCTGATGATCGTCAGATTTTTGGAAATTGACAGTTGTTAATATAATATGAATATCTTTATACGCCAAGTATCAGTGAAAAAAATCCATAAGTTTCTTAAATTTTTTTTTACTGCCTCCGTTTTAACAACAATGAAAACCTGCATCATATAAGCTGTTGTGCTCGATTTCCTCCTTTTAAGCTGTTTTTAGATGTCAACCTAATGGTTAATCAATCTATATTATCATGTATCATATATATTGATTAGATGAATCAATGTTCAAAAAAGCTATTTTCAATTGGAAACATATTTTGAACCTTTATTTCTAATTGTAAGTAAAAATGAATATCACTAATGCTTGATATCAGTTTGCTAAATCATTTAATTTAGTTTGCTAAAATTTTAAATATCTACCTAATTTTTTTTTCCTATTTTGTTTTTTTTTTCATTTTATATGATATCTTTCATTTTTAACCCCCGATAAAATAACACAAACATTTCTCAAATTTGGAAATGTACGTTATTTTTCGAGTCATTTTGCAAATCAGTATAGTATCCGTAATATTATATAAATTAATTATAAATATACAGATAAATATTTGAAAAAAATTAAATGTTTTATAAATGTTTTTGTGTTACAGATAAGGATTACAAAAGACCTCCAAAATCATTTTTAAATATTTAACGTTAAGTTATAATATATTTTTTTAAGTTATAATATAATTCATAACCCGTCATATTTGGCAATCAATCTTTAATTTGAGTTTGCATAATTATTATAACAATATTAAGTAAATCTTATTTCAAATTTCATGAAAATAAAATAATTTATAGTGCAGATATGTATATAGCAAAATGAACTCTTCAAACCATCACATTCCACCTTGTTAAAACCATTTCCTAGTGCCACTTTACATAAAACCAGCGTTTAACGAAACTATAGTACCTTCCCCTTATACTTACTGGGAAATAAGCATGTGCCAAAGTGCCTCCTGGCCCATCAAAAGGATCACCGTCGCCGTGTTCTCCTTTCTCGAATCTGATTTCAATATGCACTTGTCCTGATCGCGGCGTAAATGTCAGATCGGTGTGTTGACTCCATACGGCGAAAGCTCGTGCGATCTCGGCGTCGACTTGAGCCCGGTCCAGTTTTCTGGGGTATTTGCTTATCTTGTACGATAGATCTTTCACTCGCCATCTACTTCCTGAGAAAGAGGATTTTGAGAGATTAATAATTATATAGTATTCAGATTTAAATTTGAGAAACGTTTGTGAAGTATTGCATATATAAAAATAGAGAAATTTTATATAGATAATATATATATATATATATATATATATATATATATATATATTCATGTATCAGGGCAGTCTTAAATAAGAATGTTCTCAAATTTCCTTCAAATGCTTCCAAATTGATAAAAAAAAATCTGAAATTTTTGCTTTTAATATTAACCTCAAGATAGTCCGCACCCCAACCAAAGTTTCTTGGTTCTTTTACCTGAGTAAATATCTCTATTATAAAACATATAAAATTTACCCTGAACGTGGCTTTGACCAAAACACTTTACTAAAAGAATTTGGTATTCCTTCTCTTGCCTCACGTCGATTTATCTGTACAATTGTTCTTATTTAAACTTTGCAATAATTTTATAGACCAGGCATCGGCAACCTACGGCACGCGTGCCAGGCTTGGCACGCGACGGCGTTCTGCATGGCACTCTACAAAATAATCAGGGCAATCGCCAATATATCGAGACGAAGTGATTTTTAAATAAAAAAAAATGTTGAAATATAATTACTTATCTAATGTAGCTCGCTAATGTAATTCAATCTACATTGAAGCACTTAAAGATGAATTTTCCAGATGCAAAGACTTTGAAGCTTATGTGCCTAAATTTTCCTTCCTAATAAAACCAGATTTCATAGATCCATCAATAATACCGTTTGATTTTTCAATTTTTGAGTGGATGAATGTTGATGATTTTGAAATGGAAATTATGGAACTAATATCTTTAGAATTATTGAAAACAAATTTTAAGGAATTACGAAAAAATCAGGAAGACGACTCCATGGAAAATTAAATTGTTGGATGACATTGTCGGAAATATTTAATTGTTTAAAGAAAATTGCATGCGTTATCCTTTCACCTTTTGGTTCCACATATCAATTTTACACCCATTGTAGTATTTTTACACCCATTGTAGTATTGTTTACAAACATTGTAGTAATTTTACTCCCATTGTAGTATTTTTGCAAACATTGTAGTAATTTTACACTCATTGTAGTATTTTTACACCCATTGTAGTAATTTTACACCCATTGTAGTAATTTTACACCCATTGTAGTATTGTTTACAAACATTGTAGTAATTTTACACCCATTGTAGTATTTTTACACCCATTGTAGTAATTTTACACCCATTGTAGTATTGTTTACAAACATTGTAGTAATTTTACTCCCATTGTAGTATTTTTACAAACATTGTAGTAATTTTACACCCATTGTAGTATTTTTACACCCATTGTAGTAATTTTACACCCATTGTAGTATTGTTTACAAACATTGTAGTAATTTTACTCCCATTGTAGTATTTTTGCAAACACTGTAGTAATTTTACACCCATTGTAGTATTTTTACACCCATTGTATTAATTTTACACCCATTGTAGTATTGTTTACAAACATTGTAGTATTTTTACACCCATTCTAGTAATTTTACACCCATTGTAGTATTGTTTACGAATATTGTAGTAATTTTACTTTCATTGTAGTATTTTTGCAAACATTGTAGTAATTTTACACCCATTGTAGTATTTTTACACCCATTGTAGTAATTTTACACCCATTGTAGTAATTTTACACCCATTGTAGTATTGTTTACAAACATTGTAGTAATTTTACACCCATTGTAGTATTTTTACACCCATTGTAGTAATTTTACACCCATTGTAGTATTGTTTACAAACATTGTAGTAATTTTACTCCCATTGTAGTATTTTTACAAACATTGTAGTAATTTTACACCCATTGTAGTATTTTTACACCCATTGTAGTAATTTTACACCCATTGTAGTATTGTTTACAAACATTGTAGTAATTTTACTCCATTGTAGTATTTTTGCAAACATTGTAGTAATTTTACACCCATTGTAGTATTTTTACACCCATTGTAGTAATTTTACACCCATTGTAGTATTGTTTACAAACATTGTAGTAATTTTACTCCCATTGTAGTATTTTTGCAAACATTGTAGTAATTTTACACCCATTGTAGTATTTTTACACCCGTTGTAGTATTGTTTACAAACATTGTAGTAATTTTACACCCATTGTAGTATTTTTTATAAACATTGTAGTATTTTTACACCCATTGGACTTATGTACATCAAATTATCAGATATTTATAGAGATTTTAATACTGTGTACATATTTTGTGTAATTTTTTGGGTTCAGTACCATGATTTTTAATTTCAGTATGGGAAGTTCTAGCAATTTGAATTAAGGCACGATGCCATGCACCCCACTAGTTAATAAAAATGTTTAAAAGATAAATTTGGTTATAATTCTTCTCCCCCAGAACCTGGTTATATATTTCAGAATTCAGGCGGCACCCTGAATCATATTGGTAGAGTGGCTCGGCACACCACAGTTAAAAGCTTGCCGACCCCTGTTATAGACTGTCCTCTTATTCTTAGCCAAATATCCTTTAATGTTCCAAGGCTATCACGCGTTCACAATTATATTTCAATTATCCTACTCCTAAATCTAATTCTCTCTTAAATTCGCCTATTTTACTTATATCCTTTAACTTTAACTTAATTAATAATGAAATAGATATTCACAACACTTCACATAATCAAATAATCTCTATCTGCACAAGTTAAACTTTTTATTTTCGTTTCAAATATTTTTTTTTTTATCTTATTCTGTATATAAATATTATTGTTACATTCTGTATTATATGTTAATTATTTTTTGTTAATAACTATATTTTATGTTAAGTTTTGTATTATATTTTATGTTAAGTATTTTTTGTTAATAACTATATATTGTAATTTTGTATATACTTTAATTGTTATTCATTGTATGTTATACAGTTGTACTTTTTAGTCCTCTTGGAAGAAACCTGTGGGCTATTTAAAAATAGATAAATAAATAAATAAATACTTATTTTATAAAATATATTAAATGTTTGTTGTAATTTTATTTATTTATAATCAAAATAAGCAAATACAATGTTATTCTCAAAATTTTGATACATTTGTTGCCCAATAGATTTTATAACCCGAAGTTATAAAATTCTAAAAAACAAATGCAATTTACCCATGTTATTTCCATAAGAAACTTTGATTGGAGTGCGGATTATTTTAAAGTTATTATTAAGATCGAAATCGTTCAGAGAATTTTTTATCAATTAGAAAGCATTTGAGTCTCCGGGACAAAGAAATTCGAAAATATTTATAATAAAAACTTAAATCTATTTAATTGAATGCACGTATGTCTGTAATCTATGCATTCAAAAACTATGCTTCCAATCGCTGTAAAAATTTTGGAACTTATTTGATATATTATTAGTAAGATTTCAGCATATTTTATTAAAACCCTAAGTACTTGGCCACCCCAAAGATATTTTATTTTTTAAGCCAATTTATATTGTTCTATTTTGTTATAATGCTTACATATACATATAACAAAATATAACCCTAAATTTTCATCCTCTCACCACAAACTCTTTTTCGTCAAAATTATTAGAGTGTGGGCAATATTATCTACAACATATATAATAATATTAGGTTGACAAAAAATGATATATTCTAAAAATTAATGAATTAATGAAAAGTTGCAGAACTACTATTTAAAATTCTATCAACAACCGTTTGCTCTGTGATTAAAATAAATCTAGGGGTTTGAAAAATATCAAGTTATTGTACCCTAAAAACATATTGTAATTATCAACAAATAATGCAGGTATCTATGTGAAAATACGACTTTTCAAGACGTTCTTCACAAGTGTTACATTTGGCCCTGATAAAAGCTCGGCATTAGAATTTAGGTTGTTGTAAAAATTGTTTTCATAATTATTAAATTTGAATGTAATGTAATATAAACTAGTAATAAATTTTACAAGATAGTTTTTGACTGATACAATATATTCAACTTTACACTGAAGTTATTTGTATCATGATAATCGTATCAGGCGCATTTTAGTGCAATCATTAATATAGGAACAAGACATGTTTTAAAATGTAGATAACGATATGATTCACAATTAGTGTAATTTAATTTTTTTATCATCGACAAAATAGTATATGACAAAAAGCAGATCAAAAAATAAAACAGATTGTATGAGAATCAAATCAGGCGAATTTTAATACAATTTTATGTACGAGTAAAATATGTATTTAAAATATAGATAACCATACCGAAACTGATATATTTTAGATTTTTTTTTTACCACATCGATCAAAATAGTTATGGCGCAAAGCAGTTCAATTCAACAGAACATTCTGCTAAATATCAATACTAAACTCAAGTGTTTTATTTTTTTATCTTCATGGAAGACATCCAATAATTTTAATCACTTATCAATGATGAAACGTGCAATTAAAATAGGTATTTGATACAAAAATAGCATGCATAAAAATATGAAGGTTCTTTGTGTGCAAACTATCTTAATCATTTCAAATATTTGGAAGCAATCGATCATCTGGTAGCCATTCTTATTTATGATGTTTCATAGAAGATACATCTTTCAATATGAGATATTTTTATTACTATAACCGCACTATCTAACGACAACTATCTCAATCAATAAATCAGTCACAATATGATGAATCATGGAAACTCGTCATCCATCATAAGGCACGTAAGCCGGATTCTTATTGTTTTGGGATGAAAGTTATATGTGTATATAGATGTCAAATTGATATTATTATTAATATATATGGTAGCAATAAAAATTATTTTTCAATCTATAATAATATAAATTATAATAATATAAATATATGTCTTTGCCAAGCTGCTTAATTAAATATCACATTTATTTGAAAATCAATCGAGCTATTTTGTAGCAATTTTTTTATAGAATTGTAGAATTACATTTAATTGTTGTTTTCGATGACTGGTAGATACACGGCAAAAAGTTAATTATTTTAGCACACTCTGTGTCTAATATCAGCCAACTGAATTAAAAGTATACAGGTGTTCAAAATTTAGCTAGGAGGTAAAACTTACATATTGCATTGAAATTTGGATCTTCTTTCATTTGAGTCAATTGCATCATTTATATTAAATCCATAATCCCATTTTCCATCAAATATTTTGTAAAAATTAGTATTCTGAATATTTGTTTTTAATATTAAAAAAGGGCGGTAGTCTTGAAACATTTATAAAGGTGAAATGCAGGTAAATAAATAAAAGGGCAGTAGGATAAGTTAACATATCTCCCTGCCAAAAAATGGTACATTGATAATTCAAAAAGGTTTTCATTATCATGCTGGTAATCATATATGTACATTCAATCGTAGGTTTATTTTTATTATTCAATATAAATAATAAAAGCATAACCCATCGTTTTTCATGAGTAATGTTAAATGTTCGACGTAGGTGTCATTCATGGAATCATAACAGTGTGGTTTTACGTTTACTATAAAGTAGCAGACACCTACAGAACGTGAATCACCTTACACACATTTTAAATGAGATAAGTTTAAGAAAGTGATTCACCGCAAAATTTTCAAGAATTAGAAGAGTAACTGTCTGTTTAAGATATACGGATAAAGATCAACTAACTTTTGAATGGAACGGTTGATGGCTAGCGTTGCCATGGCAACCGTATGTTACGGTTTTTTTTCACATAAATTGGTAGTAAAAACTGTCAAATTGCATTATTAATAATTTACCATTATTATAGCCTACATCACTTCATACATATTACTTAAGCAATATATTATTTCTCTAACAAATAATTATATAAAAATTCAATACCAGAATATAAGGTTGATCCTTTATTACGATATGCATATTCATAAGACTTCACAAAGGTTTTTTAGTTTGTTGATGAAGGCACGTTCAACAGTTGACTTATATCGTTTACTGTTTACTAAATAATGATATGTTCGACGATTGCCATCATGCAAATTAGTGTCAACCTTGCACTTTATCACACTAACGAGATCTTTTTGCTGGTTTCGATTATGTGCTGTGCATGATGTTTGAACAGCTATCGTTCGGCAGTAATATTATGCTCAAAACAAGTTAATTATAAAAATTAATACGTGGTTAAAAAAACTTATCTAACAACTTTGTCGGATGTGGGGTTTGTACCTGCGCTTCTAATCGGGAACTAGATTTAGTTAATGCTTGTAATAATCGTAGAATTGTATTGAATATAAATAACACTGTCATAAAATCAAAATATTTAAATCATTATATTTAAATTTTTTTTTACAAATAACCTTAAAATTAGTTTAACACGTCATTCTCGATGTCAGGCATTTGTGTTTGGCCCTAAAAAATTCTACATGAGCCAATTATGTCTGACATACCTCATGTAGAACTTAAGTTGACAAGTTACTAAGTTCTACTAAGAATTCTAAGTAGATAGATTTTTTTGCATTTTGTGACCAACCTCTTATTTATCTTAAATATTGCGTATTTTAATAATTTCCCCAATGGACCTAAAATTTATCTATAATACTACATAAATTTCTTGTCTTCGATCGATTAATATCGATTTTTTCCTTTGTAGATTGTGATAGAATTTATTCAAGTAATAGTCCTACAACTACAACACATCTTTTCTATTGAATTTCCGGATTGTAATTCCGTTAGCGAATTACTGAAGGTCAATTATCTAATGTGCGTACACACATGTAAATAGTATTTTCAGAGAAATCTATGTGTGTAGTACACCAGTGGTTCATAATGTATCAGAATTTCATTTTCGGTTTATATATATATATATATATATATATATATATATATATAAGTAAATAATTTGCTAGAATAAAAAATTTCACCAGAGTCAATCCAACCCATAGACGAAGTGAAATATCTCTTTTCTAATTCATTTTTAACTCTGAAAATGTTTCACGATATAATAGTTACACTATGTAATCAAGGGGATGCAGTTTAATTATTAGGTTGAATAAAAGTAGGTTTGGTTGAAAAGTAAAGATAATAATCTAATATATGTTGGTAAACAAAGAGGGCAAATTCTTCTATTCTACGCTCCAATCTTCATATAAATTGGTAGTAAAAACTGTTAAAAAGCTAAGTATCTGTTGTGTAGTCAGGCATTTTACCTAAAAAAGTCGCACTAACATCAAACGCACAATGTGATCATAAGAGCTTCTTTCTAATGTGCTCTTGATAGCACATATGTGAAGTTAGGTTTTATGTGTGAAACGCCTGATTGCACAGCAAATATATAGCATTTTGACAGTTTTTACTATCATTTTATATGAAGGTAGGACTCTCACATAGCGTTGCTTTTTACATTTCTATTGTATTGGAGAATTGGTTCTTATATCTCTTATTTTTTTCACTTTTTTAGCTTCTAAACAATTTACTGACGAGCATTGATAGACATGCGGATGTCTCAGGGTATTAATTAATTATTAATAGTAAAATAGTACAACGTAACACCGATCTTATTTGCAATAATGCAAGGCTGTTCAAGTGAGATAACAGCACGATCTTCCACTGAGATATATTATATATATTTCCTAAGTTTTGCGAATACTTCCTTAACGTTGTGCTGAATACATATCTTCTCACGGCACTGAATTCTTATATCGCACTTTTTTGGAACAATTCCAAAATAATTGAGAAACACAAACTCATCAGAATATATCCATGCCGATCAATGGGAAAATGATAAATGTGCTACGATTGTTGTGCCAACTAATTCTGTTGCAGATAAGACACATCGATTTTAGAAATTGATGCAATTAGAAATATGGGATAATGGTTCTCCTGATGATAAACTGTAGATACCACGTGGAAGTCGCTAAGGGTATATTTAACATTATTCTTATTCGCCAGCGGAAAAGTAAAAAAAATACAAACAGTCAATGAATGTATGTCAATTTTAATTGCATGAAGTTCTTCGAACACAATTCCATGATAAGTGAAGTTGCAAAAACGTTGTTTAACATAATCTACTATGTGAACGAATATTATAGAATTTATTAATTAGCAATTACTTCATTTCTCTAATGAAGGTTTATCTCTGAATGCTAATTACAATGACAAACCGATCATGTCATTTTTGAAGTATGACTTTGATTACATTATAATTTTCAAATATTATACATATTTTTAATGGTATTATAAATATATAATTTATAAACATTATATAAATGAATCAAAATTGTTATATGATGTATTTATTTTTACTTAAATGCTATGTTGTAAGTAGCAAATAAGTTATACTTCAATCGTGTATGAACCTTACGCGCACTCTTTTTTTGGACTTAGTTATATCTATGATATATGTATATTACACCTGCAATTAATCAATTTTCGTTATCATTGTCGGCGATAGCTCACGGTTTGAAAAGCGTTAAAGGCGCGAGGCGTGGTGGCCGCGGACGTTACGCAATTCACGTGGATTTATCGAATGAAACATGTGATCGAGTATTAGTTGTAATTTATTATCATCACTTGCAAGATTGAATTTATTCTCTTTATTAAACTTTCCATTGAGTTATTGATTTAATTTCTAGCTTTGACGTTTTATATAGGAAAAACTTATTGTTCGATTTTATAGAAATATTATGTTGCACATGAATATATTTTATTGAAGAGACTCTTAGTTAATTATCAGTCTGTTTATTTATTATACTTGCCAGCTTTGCACTTTAACAATATATAAATATTACTCATATATTTATATTGAAATTGAAATAAGATATAAGTTTATCTAAGCAGAGAGGAATGATGAGTAATATAGGTAACGGATGTAAATGTATTAAATTCTAATATGGAAAATAAATATATGCAACTATGACATACGTATGAACTATCCCTAGTACACGTTGTACAAGTAAAGTATTGAAATAATTTTAATAAATCGGTAATATTCAATAAATTTGATAATTAAATAATATTAACTACTTACAGTTATTGAATTATTGTGATCAGCATTTTGCTTCAAATTCTGTATTTATTAATATCATTGATGAAATGCTCAAATTTAAAGCTTTGATATCAACCTCTATCGCATAATTTGTTAGTACTTGACCACTTCCTTTTAAGATTTTAATATCAACAACTGTTATTTTCTTCAATCTCAATCTTTCTATATTTACTAACAAGGGGAACCTCAGATTTGCTATTCTAGGATATTAATGACATTTTGAATGATGATAAAGTTAATAGTCTAATCGAACACCTTAAAATATTGTAAGGCTATGAAATGAGGTTAAATTATAAAAATCAATTAAAGTTTTGAAAAATGCAGTGTTCCATATCGATATCGACTGTAATGATTACTAATTATATTAATAATATACTATTATTAATAAAATAAGTTATATTCCTAATTATACAAGCCTTGATATCAATCTAAAAGTTTAGATTTTAGTTGCATTTTTTAAGATAGTTTATTATCTAATTTACTTCAATCTCAATCTTTTTATATTTATTTATTATAGGTAAAGATAACAATTACTCATGCAATTATATAATGAGCACTTGACCAACAAATTTGCGTATGCTAAAAATATTTACATAAACATTTTTCCTAATCCGTATCTAAATAAACTCAATGAAACATGAAATAGCCGGCGAACGTTTCACGCTCTACTTGCTCAACGTAGTAATCGTAATGATTTCAGAGTACAACAAAATTGATTATTATTAGGCAACTTTAAATAGATTTTTTTTATAATTTTGTAAACGTGATAAAAACTGATATCTAACAAGAATGTGTTCTATATTATTTTCTTAAATTTAATCCTACCTTGTAGAGCGTATCTCTTCGATCGCGAATCGCTGCCAAAACCAACTTTATCTTTGACTCCACATCTGGGTAGACTCATGAGTTCCATTGTTTGTTCATCCAGTTCACCTAAATAGAAATAAATAAAAATTAAATTAACAATGAACAAATTACAAACTGCGGTGCAATATGGTAATCATCATATAATGAATAAAATTATAGATGGAAACAAATATATAAGTAATAAAAATTCTAGGAACCTATTAATCAACGGAATCACATCGTGCATATCATTCTTATGAATTATTAGTTAATATTTCATTCACATGATGATAAATCTGTTGATTAAACGTTATACTTCTCAAACAGACATCCATCCAGATAATAAAAATAGTAAAAAACTAAAAGATATTTCTTAAGATAATTTTAATAGATCTATACGGTTCGTATCCCAATTTGACTCATCTTCAGTGAACAAAACACAAAAAAGATTAAGGGACATTAAAATAACAATAATTTTGACCATCAGGCACTAAAAAGTTCTTGCCAGAGGCAAATATATATTGTCTGAATCATACTTTGTTAAAATTTTAATCAAAACGTGTTCTTAGTGAAGAAATGAGATTTTTGAATCATTGATGTATTTTTTTATTTATAACCGATGAAATAGCAGTATTTAATTGCAAGGCTATTTTTCTTAAATTGTCATCGATATTAATATTATTATTACTCTATCATGTGGTAGCAAGAAGTACTCTGCTCTTTAAATCCCATCAAGTCAAACAAAAATATTCAAATATTGATTCACAAAATGAACAGTTATACATTCATCGCATATTTATAAACCGTTGATTATGCAAAATGACATTTGAAAGAAAGTAACATCAGTCACAAACAGAATGTAGAGTTCGTTAGCATTATGTGTTTTGAGGTCATGCGTCTGGCTATAAAATCTTCATAAGTCAAGGTTAAAAGAAAAAATATACGAAAGGATTGGCCTTGTCTCAACTATTGTCCTAATATACCGAAGTTTCCATATATGCCAAGCAACCGCAAAAAATATAAGCGTTTTGCATTTTTAGCAGGCGTTCCTCGGATGCTAAATATATTACGTTGCAATATTTGCAGTACTCATTATGTACTCTTCGCAGAATAAATAAATATGTGTATTGCTTATGAGTTTGTTTAAAACGCCAATGACAAAGTCAATTTTCAAGAAATACTACTTATTTAACACGTTAATCGCCCAAACACGATAATAATAAAAAAAATCATATGATCATGGTAACTTTATTAGATAATTTAGTTGAAAATGTATCACGAAATCTTAATGTGTCAAAACATTTTTTTTCTCAAATTCCTAGAAAAACACTATTCTTTATCACACATACATGACTCACATGGCTCTATATTAAAACTTTCTTTCTCCTTATATCAAATCGGGTAGGGTAGGACGAGGCACAAAGGTCCAATTTCACTTTGGCCAATTATAATGTGAAAATCAATTATATCACAATAAGGAAAAAAATCAAACAAACAACTATCTGACTATGTTCAGTAAAACTCCCAGATAATTCATCTTTATAGAAATGTTTTTTTCTGTTTTTTTCAAAAATTTGTCACCTGGTCCGTTTTACCCCATAGTCGTGGGTACGAGGCAGACTGGTTCAATGTTTATTTTCAATTTTGAATATATTTTACAAGATAATAGCTACATTATTCAACTAATGCAAAATATAAATTTCATGCGTGCATTTTTTACATAGATAACACTGTAAATAACCTTTATCTGTTTATTTTGTCAGAAATATTTATCAGCAGAGTTGGAATAACTATTTATCCAATCAATCTCTTGTAAAATTTCTTTTTTTAACTTAATTTACTTTGCTATTTTTTATTTTCTACATCTTTGCTAGGTAAAAGATAGAGTTAGTCCTATTTACCCCACCCGGTTGTAAGCTTTTGTAGAGATGATATAAAAACAACTGTTGAATATAACTTTAAATTATCAATAAATATTATAAAACAATTAAATAATATATACTTAATTTTTTATTAAAGTATCGTAAACTGAACAACAGTGCTCACAACCGAAAAAACTAACAACGAAAAAAAATTTAGTTATGAATTTTCAAACATTGCCGTTTTTTCCGATAGCAACGTTTTAAAAATCAAGGTGATGGACGGTTATACATCTTCATCCCTCTACTTGCAAATATTGTTTTTCTTCAAAAATTTCTTAACTTTTTAAGTTTTTGAGATATCGATGGTGGACTATTTTACCAGCGTAACTTTAAGCTCCATTCTACCCTGTACAGACATACAAAACTTTTTAGCGTCAGACACATAGGACTGACATGGCAATTAACGTGTTAAAATCATATTATATAAATAATACATAAATAAATATAATTTCCGCAAATAATCAAAATTAGTTGTCACTAAATATTACTGCACAATTTCTACTACTTCATAAGTCTTATCTCTTTTCAGAAATTGAAAATATAATGATACGATAATAATAAATTCAACTATACTTTTCAAAATAGAACGTGGAGCTTTTTATTCTGATTTTTGCAAAAATTCAAATTTTCTTCTTCTATTAAACCAGCTTAATATTTCTTTTTATTTCAATTACCAATATGATATAAAAATGTTATTAGAGTACTTTATCAAACATAACAGAAAACGTAATCAACTTAATTAAATTTTCTATAAAGCCATTACCTGTAGCGTTGATGCCGGCGAAGCTCTGGAACTCTGAAATTGCGCTTGTCCACGTGGAGGCATCTATCAACCCTCCGCTAGAAGGGTTGCGAACCGAAGGGCTCAGATAGCCAAATTGTGCGAGGTACATCTGAAAAATGGAGATAAAAAATATTTAATATGATTTTTCGATTAACTATATAGATAATAATTAATTAAAATTATAATAATTTAATACAAAGTAAATAGTTTAATACAAAGACAAAACATAAATAAATTATATAGAATTTTCTTGCTTATTTTTCTAAATTTCATATATTTTGTTTTCACTGATCCTTCATCAAAATATGTTATAAAATTACTGTACAAACAACGGCGTAGATGAGCTTTACTTTTAGTTTATATACTATTATACATACTTTACGTTTCTATAAAAATATTTATTTGAAATTTATAGGCATCACATTGTCTGATATAAATGTGTATTTTTAAATTGATGCATTGCATTGATAACTCGATTATTTTATTAAAAAATAGGTTTTGTTCAAAAACTTCACAACCGTTCAATATGATTTTTTATAAACTTTTTTCTACTACGGGAACTCAAAAGCAGTTTATTTCAAATTATTTTGGGAGACGGGTCTTGCGATTTCCGAGATACCGAGAAAAAAGCTTCAAAAAAGCTTTAAAATTATGCAAGCTCATTTATATGCATAAAATGAGCAAATTATATTGTATTGTTTTTTTTAAAGAACTGTATTTTTACTCAGGGTTTTGTAGCAATGTGCACAAAATAATAAATTAGAAAAACAAAGAAAATAATATTTTCTTTAGCTCTTCTATTTTGTCTATAAAATACGAATTACACCTAATAGTTACAGCATTACTAATGATACATTTGAAAATATTTAAAACAATTATAATTAATCATTGTTCGATTTTTATTGAATAATGAGTATTATTATTTTTTGAATGTTTAATTACAGCACGGGAAGTCACGGCAACTTTCCTTAAGGAGCAATCCCATCCACCACGAATTTTTCCATTAAATGCTTTTGCATGTAATTAAATTACATTAATTCATTCATTTAAATGTAATAATGCTGAGATCAGTTATCTAGCTGTACTTTATATGGATAAATGTACGTAATTGTTGTTATATTTTTTTCAAATATTCAAACTTATTTCAAATATTCAATATATGTAATTATATATACTTCTCGGTGTGCAAAAAAGTCTATAAAGCCATATGTGTTTTTCTTTCATGTAAGGTATTTGCTAGCAGATATTATTGGTACAAAACTATTCAATTGATACAACGATGATAAATTTTTTGCTTTAATTATTTTTAATAAAAATATTAAAATACAAGGTAATCGGGTCATTGTAATGTAAACCGTTTTAATGCTGAAATACATTAATATCTTATATTTTTATGGCCTACAGTATTTGCTGTCATAGCAGACATATGGATTCAAAATATATTATTATAACATAATATTAGCGAGCCATTAAATAAAATTAAATAGGAAATGTAATGTAGTTGGAATTTTTATTATCGCCCATTATCGTCTAGAATTTACTGTAACCGCGCCGTTTTTATTTTTCGATTGTGTAGTAAAATCCATTAAACAGATATATTTGAAATTGCAATCTTTTCAAATGATAATACGGCATGTTATTTCTAAACTATGACTATTGCAAAAATTTAGCGGTCTAAAAATTATTTAAATTATTTATACAGTTTTATATACACTATTATATAAGAAAGTTTTAACAGATAGTTTCTTTGTACAATTGTCGCAGATGATGTGTGAAAAAATATAACGCAATTTTATTTGTAAGAGTACGTTTTCATCCTTCAATAGTACGTGCAATCCGATTTAAAATATACTGAAATTTTTATTAAATATCAATTTTAATAGAGTTTTACAAGAACATGCAAGATATTAATTAGTTTCATTTATAGTTAATTTCTTTGATAAGATAGCAAGATTAAATTTACGGGTAACTTGTCTCAGAAAGCAATATCAACAAAGCAAATAAAAAACGCGAGACTTAAAAAAAACTTGTTATAAAGGTCTAATTTTTATTATACAGCTTCGATCCTTATATTACATCATTGTCAAATATAAATCATATATGTATCATATCAAATCTATACAAAACACATTAGAGAAGCTGAAAAGCACAATGTGTACTAATGATGCAAATAGTAATTTCATATCATCATTTGAATATTTTCTAAAGCATTTATCATAATATATGGATAGTCTTTTAAGAATTTAACGGTTAAGCTTTCACTTTTCTTACAATGAAATGCATTTGTACCCAAACGCAAATGTAAACGTTTAATTTTCTTTTTCTTTTTATTATTCAGCGCATTTATATATATATATATATATATATATATATATATACATAATATATATACACAATGATATTTGTTATATATATTTATATATAGATACTGCATAATTGCTGCTGCACCAAGTGATATAAGATTATCTAATGTATATTAAATGTATATATTAAATATAGATAATTGTTATAGAGGATAAGATGCAGTCAAGCATTTTTTCTGTCAAATGAAAAAACAGATAGTTGTTTGAAATCATCAATGAAAATTTCTGAACTTTACCAAAGTTTATACTAGTAATACTGAGAGGGGCAGACAGGTTACGGTTATTTCAGTCGTCAAAACAGGTATACCATATTGATTTTGAGATAGGGTCCAAAGAAGAAAGATAAAGTATGTTTGTTCGAACAAGTTTTCGTTATTGCATTGAGTTAGCGCCCTATATCAACATGATCTGTATTGCTTTTAAAGAGTCAAATTTAAGTTTTTTGTTTGATTTTTTTAATAATGACTGTTACTTGTATACAATAGAACACTTTGATTGGTGTTTTGCTGTGAATTGAAAATTAGTAGTTAACTACCCGAAATTAATCTTTTTTTTCGTCGAATATTTATATGTTGATACAAGTATTTCTTGTTCTGTTTGGATAAAATTTAAGCTAAAAAAATCTAACTTATGAAGATATAAAACAAAAGAAAAAGAGACAAGAAAATTCAATACAAGAAAACAAAAGATTTCATAAACTTTGTTTAAATGATTATGTTATTATTTCTGGCAATAAGTGCTTATAAACCATTTAGGTATTTATATATACTATATATACTTTTAACCGTCCTGGAGGTATGGACGGTTGTGACATTTGCCCTTTTCTTGTTTGATTTTGTAGGATCATACTTAAGAACAGTATTTCAATATTTCCATATAGACAAATATTCAAATTTTCATTTAATTTATTTTTCTTCTAGCTAATGGTAAATTAACAAAATAATTGCTGATCAAAAAAAGCTTTTAGACTCAAACTTCTTTAAATTTGTTAATTCATAAATCAAAATGAATAAATCATATATTTCATCTAAAACACAAACACTCACTGCTTAATTATGTTACTTTGTCTGTTACTAATGTGTCATTATAAATGCAGTAATATTTATAGTACATATTGCATATTTCTCGATATCTATTTATAAACGTGCATCATCCAGCCCTGCAAAAAAAGTCTCATTCAATGAACAGCTGTATATATACAGGCTAAAAGAGTTAATACAAAATGATTACATGAAGAAGTAATTCGCAAGTGTTCTTAATTACATTTGCGCAGTAGCCGCACGAGATGGCTTATTTTATCTAACATAAGTTTCTGTTCTGCGTTCTGAGTAGCGTGAAAATAAATGGACGATGAAAATCTAAAAGAATACACAAGCAAATTGTAAGAGAATAGAACTAATAAAATTTAGAATAGTGAATTGTACCGCAGAAAAATATATTTAGACATTTTAGGATTATTTCACTATTAAGTTGTGGGCATTGAACATATGTACAATAAGTGCATATGTACTTTATTCATTGAACTCTGGCTTACAAAGCATATACACAAACACCACACACACACATATGTATATATATATATATATATATATCTAGTCCATTTTCAGTAGTTATGCTGCCTATACTACATGACAACACATGACATTTAAAAAACAAACAAATATCAAACTATATTCAGTAAAATTCTCAGTTAACTGCTGATTATAGAAATATTTTGTACTATTTTTTCCAAAATTTGACATCTGTCTTTTTTGTCCCATACACTAGGTAGGAAGCGACAACCAGAGAGTACTCGGATTAAATTTAATTTTAATTTCTCTTGTAAAATTGCTTTCTTTAACTTGTTTTACTTTTTTATTAAGTACTCCTACTTTTAACCTACCCACATGTAAGCTTTTATATAGGTTATATAAAAAATACGATGAATCTAACTTAAAAACATATTACATCATACAAAACAATCATAGTCAGGTATCATAAATTAAATGCAAAAGCTCATACACTAAAAGTATATCTATACAATAAAATGTTATGTTCAATTTATTATTAGATTATGTAACCAAAGTATTATGCTTAAAGTGTACGTATATTCTTTTATATTATATACTAGTATTCAAATTTTACATTAAGATTTTTTAGTTAAAAAATTATTAGCGTAATATTATAAAATTACTGTACATAACCGATTGGCGTATATATAAATAACTAAATAAATAAATAAATAACCAAAAAAATACCAAAGAAAAAAACCCCAGTGTGATTATTGATATATTTTCGTTCACCTCCTTATAGCAAAGTCGTAAGAAATAAGGTGATGGCAGGTTACACATTCTTTGCCTTCTACTTTATAATAGTAACATTAAACAAAATCTATACTATGTTTTTTGAGATAATAAGAATCGATTTTTTCACGAGCGGACCTTCAAGCTCTGCCTATATTCCATAATTCATGCATATATTATTATGAGCGCGTGATATCCTTTGGCTAAAATCCATTTAGTTCTAGCAATCCCTTAATTCTGGTATTTGTTATCAAAAATCCCACACCTGTAGTTTTATGTACGAATAAACTTCATCCTTGCTTTTATTTCGCGTTGTTTTCATATGCAAATATTCACTTCAGAATTCGTACAGTGTACACACCATCACGTGAGTGCGCGATCATGTAAAACAAAATCGTGAGCTATACATCGGCCGCGTATTTTCTTGGTAGCCGTTTGCGAGGGCTCGTCAAAGCTCCGAATTT